GTTGGAGCCTGTCCACCTCCTTCAAAGTTATCACCTTGACACATCTTAGGGTATACTGCCTAGTACACCATCACTACTGGGAATACGTGAAGACTCTTGAGCAGCGGCAAAACAAAGTGAGTTTGGTCAACTTGCTTTGTATGGTCACTGCTTTGGCAGCTTTCCTTTTACCAGATCATTGATTTACAACAGTATGTATAAGGTACAAGGTCTACAGATGGTGAGGACTCTGCTAACTGAAGGATTTGGACAGAGGGTTAGTACTTTTTGGGAAGTCATCGTCTTGAGGTTTCACACAACATGTGATGCAGAGGTACGGTTGGGCTACTCTCAGATTTTGGATTCATGATCCGACATTATCATCGGATGTTCAGTTGACCATACGAGGTTGGTTCAGGATGAAGGTTGTCTCAGGAAAGTCTGTCCAGCTTTCTTTAGATGAGCTCAATCTGAATTCAAGTGTGGTTGATGTGACTGTTGGTGATGGAAGATGAAGTCTTCAGTAGCTACAGCGAGTCCATCAGATTTCGACTGCGAGATTGACACTCACACGAGATCTGTCCAGGATGAAGGTTGTCTGAAGGAAGTCTGTCCAACTTTCGGTAGATGACTTCAGTCTGGACTCAAGTGTGGTTGTCATTCCTCCTGTTGGTGATGGAAGATGGGCTCGCAGAAGTGCTGAAGATGAAGTCTTGGGTAACGACATCGAGTCCGTCAGAAGTTGTCAACTGCAAGATTGTCAATCATACGATGTTGGTTCAGGATGACGGTTGTCTGAGGAAAGTCTGTCCAGCTTTCGTTTGATGACCGCAGTCTGAACTCAAGTGTGGTTGTCATGATTGCTGGTGATGGAAGATGAAGTCTTGGGTAGTTACTTCGAGTCCATTGGAAGACGTCGACTGCGAGATTGTCAATCACACGAGATCTGTCCAGGATGAAAGTTGTCTGAGGAAGTCTGTCCAGCTTTCTTTAGATGAGCTCAGTCTGAATTCAAGTGTGGTTGATATGACTGCTGTCGGTCATGGAAGATGGACCTCAGAGGAGTGCTGAAGATGAAGTCTTGGGTAACGACAGCGAGTTCATGCTAAAACATCATCATTGGAAGCTCGGTTAAGCATACAAGGTCCGTCCATGATGAAGATTATCTGAGGCAAGTCTGTCCCACCTCCTTCAGATAACATCCGTCTGGACTCAAGTATGGTTGACATGACTACCATTGTTGATGAAAGGCTGAGCTCAAAGATGATACCATTGACCACTGAAGTCGCTGGAGTTAGACAGTCAGATATTGTTCGTATATATCAGTCCCAGCCATCCTGGAGGGATTACGTACAGATGCAGTTGTACGGTATCCACTAGGATTGGTTCACCATTTGTAGTTGTAGACTACCACTAGCTCTACCATGCTGTTCAGGTAGTTGCCGGCAATATAGTGAGCAGTTCTGTGACCTGAGACCTCAACTCTGCGGATCTCAAGATTCAGAACTCCTCACTGTTGTCTATAACTATCTAAACAGGCATGGTAGAAGAGGTGAAACCGAAGAAGAGGGAAGTACGGTCATTTGGGTCTAGCATGGTAGGGGCAACACACTAACAATGACTGCATATCACTCAATGCCTGTTGATGAAGGTGATGAGTTGAGTAGGGCCGTCAAATGACTGTGTTTAACGAATTTCTCTGTATGGCCAAGCCACTTGATATTAGAAAGCAATAAGTGAGAGGTGAGAGAACTCATTAGCCAATTTACCGAAAGAATGGCCAGATTTCTCGACTGCTAGGCCGATATACGATGTGTAGAATGTGACGCATTATACCAATACAGGAATCGTTAAAATCCAGGAAGTATTGAAGAAGACATGCTCGTACTTTGTGGATTTCTTTATTGGGGTGTTATCTAACAATTGGTGTACTCCAGTGGGACTTGGCTACAGAGTTGTTGTATTTATTGCCATCATTGTTGGAATAATCTTTTGTTCTCTAACCTGCTGCTGAACTGGGTGCATATTGCGCGGGTATAACTTTCCCTAATTGGCACGGCCGGTGGTTTAGGCAGTAAAACTCATCGAGAGTTGTAACAAACGAATGACTTTCTTTAAAGCATTTAAGAACGCACATTTCACCTCAATTCATAGCACCACCTGGTTAAGACGGCACATACAGCTTGTACCTATTCATACTAAGAAATATGCCATTTGCTTCCACTAGAATTTCACTCCAATGGCCCCCAGAGCCAGCAGAGGAGACCACCGATACTTTAGTGCTGACCTCTCACGATTTACACTTTGTCGATATCCGTATCACCAAGCCATTACCTGCGCCAACCTCAACAGACAACGACTCCCATATCGACTGGATCATCACGGGTATTGAGAACCCGTTGGAAGGAACCACGAAGGTGGAGTTCAAGCATGAGATCAACTCCCACTTGAAGCTCAACACCGGTGAAGCCTTTGACATTGGTGATTTCCACGACGCTCCAAATGGAGACCGTTCCGAAACCGGTATTATGGAGAACTGGAACACCGGTAAGATGTCACCGTATGAAGAGATTTGGCGAAGCATTGACCCAAACGTCAGCACCCCGGAGAATTATGTCCGCGAGCTCAAGAAAGAGAGCGAAGCTGCGTGCGTGGTCTACAAGCTAGCAGAGAAGGAGTCTGAGTGGCTCGGCCAGATGGTTAGAATCGGCTCTTTTGCACAAGGTGCCATTCTGAACAGATCCACCAACAAAGTGTCGTGTGTTAGATGGTACTTGAAGGAAGGACAATGGCAAGTTGTGTTCCAGAACGGTAAAGAGGTGTCCAAGATTCCAAACGGCGACGACAAGCTCGGGGCCGTGGTTGAGTTGGAAAACTTGCGCTGGAAAGTGATTGAATCGTCTTTCTGAGCACCATCTTCATCAGCAAGGGTGTGCTCCCAGACTATACACCCCATACTCCCAAACGTTTAGTATATAGTTGTCCATAATAGCTGGCGATACAATACACCCAGACACCACACCATTGTAAACCCGAACATCCATAAACCCGAACACTCATAAACCCGGACACCCAGAATAAAGGCCGCAAACGTCCGCTGTCTTTTCGCTGTTTTTTTTTTTGAGGGCCCGTCCTCGCTCTCTGCGTACGCGCCTGTGTGTGTGCGCTGTTTCTTTTTTTAACACCAATTCGTTCGCTTCAGCTCATTGGCCCCTTTGCGATTTTGGACAGAACGGTCCATTGAAGCGGTTACATTGCGTGGAATTCAGCTCCATTTTGTTTCGCTTTGGTTCAGCATCCAGTCACACAGTTAGAGCACTCCAGCGTGGGCTGTTTTTTTGTTGTTGCTTGTGCCAGAAGAGACGTTCCAGCTCCAAGGCCTTCCCACTGAGTACTAATCGCTGAGTACTAATCCCTTCTGCACGCTCGAGTCGTCTGCGTAGGCCAGTTGTGAAGAGCAGCTGCCAGAGAGAGGTGAAACACTTGCAAGAACACAGGCCACAGAGCACAGAGCAGTGATGGCATCGCGCACCCGCAAGATCTCCGTTGTCGGTGCCCGTGGAGTGGGCAAGTCCACTCTTGTGGTGCAGTACGTTGATAACTACTTTCTGGAGTCATACTACCCAACGATCCAAAACCAGTTCAACAAGTCCATAAGTTTCCGTGGGCAGACGTATGAGGTGGAGGTGTTGGACACTGCAGGCCAGGACGAGTTCACCATCCTACAGGACTCGTCGACCTTGGTGCACGGTTACATCCTGGTGTACGCTGTGAATTCACGCTCATCGTTCGAGCTCTTGCCGGTGATTAGGGACAAAATCCTGGAGTCCACGGGCACCGACAAGGTGCCAATGATCCTGGTTGGGAACAAGCTGGACCTGGAGCGCAAGGTTGGCCATGAAGAAGGTGTGAAGCTGGCCCGTGAGTTTGGAATACCATACATCGAGATCAGTGCAAAGACTACAAGTGAGCAGGACATCTCTCGCATATTCGTTGGCCTGTTGGAGCAGATTGAAGGTGAAAAGATCGACCCGGAGAACGAGAAGTGCATCATCATGTAAATTGGATAGTCCTTAGAATCTTCTCATACTATTTAGAATTCCCTATTTATGGCTGCCCGGGGTTCTCTTCCCACCATGTAGCGAGTAGGCAAAAAACGCATAGAAAAGGCAACCAGGAAAACCAAAACATCAACATCAACATCAACATCAACAACGACGGAGAAACCACACAGGAACGATGGATGAGAAGAGGAAAAGGAGGAAACAGCACTCAAAGCAGCCGACTCCGCAGCTGAATAGCTCGAAGTATCCGTGGCTGCCCTTCCCGAGAAGAACAGACAAGTGGAACGAGCTGAGCGAAGAGGTGTTCTGTACGTGCCGTGAGCCTGATACCGGAGAGCTCATGGTTGGCTGCGATGGCTGTGATGATTGGTTCCACTTCAAATGTGTCAGGCTGGATGTTCGGTACTCGAAGCTCATTGCGAAGTACTACTGTCCGTACTGTGATCTGGAAGGCAAGGGCTGTACGCTGTGGAAGAGAAAGTGTCGCTTACCACAGTGTTACAGTCCCATAAGGGACAACAACACCAAGTACTGTTCCGAAGAACACGGCGTTGAGTTCATGAAGCTTGTGCTGAGTAAGCTACAAAAGCCCGTTGATGTTGGCGCAATGTCGCAAATCGTCAAGGGTGTGGGTTCCTTTGAAGCGTTCCAAGCCGTTGGTGATACGCTGCCGCTGTTGGCTGAGGACGCTGTTTCGAACGATCCAAGGTTACGGCACGTGGATCAGAGCGTTGATAACTTGAACAAACAAAGAGAGGAACAACTCCAAAGGCGAAAGCTGCTGGTGAAGACGAAGGAAAACTTGAAGAGACTCAACGATGAGCTGTCTTTGAACAAGAAGAAGATAACGGTGTGTGGGTTTGATCCCCTGCTGAGGGACGATGAGCAACATGGAGAGGATGCACTCTCCACAAACGATATCCAACTGTTGAAAAGGTTGTATGAAGGTGACGAAGAGAACACGACACAGGTCTGTCTATTGGACAAGAGGAAGTGCCAAAGGCATAACGGTTGGCAGTCCATCTTACCCGATGAGATTGAGAATAACATATACAAAATTGATGAGCAAGTGAGCTCGCTGAAGTTGCAGAGGGATAAGCTGATCAGTGTGATGAGCAGAGACCATTATGAGGCTTTACTACGTGGATAGTGTCATGTAATAACCAACTATAATATAATGTAATAGTACTACTAATAATAACACACCTGGTGGAATCTTCATTCCATCTTCTCATCTCCTTCGGCATCTTTGGTGGACGCCTGTTCTTCGTTCTTTTCCTCTTTCGCTTCCCCTTCCTCTTCTTCATCCTCCTCCTCCTCCTCCTCTTCTTCATCCTCTTCTTCGAAATGTGGTTTCCAGATCTCTAAAAGAGCATCTTCACCAACGCTGACTATCGTGTTTGAGACTCCAGATACCCAATCAAACTCATTCACTTTTGAGACGTGGCCTCCGTGGATGAACTTCAAACATGGGTCCTCCTTATCGTTCTTTGTGAAGTCGTCAACGTCAAACTCTTCCTCCAGCTTCAGAAGGTCCCAAACGTGTATACGTCTATCATTTGAGCTTGAAGCCAATAGGTGGGACTCATCAGGATTGAACTTCACTTGGTTCACGGCACCGTTATGCCCATAGAGCTGTCTCAATGGCATCTTGGTGTTTCTCAAGTCCCATAGAGTAACGAGATTGTCAGCACCACCAGTGACGAAGAGATTAGTCTGTTTTGGGTTGAAATCGATGGCATTGATTACATCCTTGTGTGCCTCAGCAACGTTGATCAGCACTTCATCAGATCTTGTATCAAAGAACTTGATACTTAGGTCATCGGAAACTGAACCAAACATCGTTGGAATGCCATACGACCAGGAGAAATCGTTCACAATCGCACTATGTTGCTTGTAGACCCTCAAAGGCGTTTCACTGCTGAGATCCCACAGGGCAATGTGAGTGTCTTCACCTCCAGTGACAAGTTTCGAGCCCAGGAGGTTCCATTCAAGTCCAAACCCATCCTTTTGGTGGTACTTCAACGTCTTTACGCATTCAGATTTGTCAAATGACCAGATCTTAACGTCACCGGTCTTTGTGAAAGTGGCAACCTTATCACGATGGATACGAGCTTTGTTGACCTCGCCTGGGTGTAACCATCTCTGCTTCAAGCTCAATTTGGAGGTGAAGTCTCCTCCGCCTGATGGGATCGGGATGGAATGTGTCGTCTTAGGCGATAGCGTTGAAGGTAGCCTTGCCGTAACGTACTTCAAGAAGTTGTCACCCGTGGTGGAGTACGTACCAAGGAGGAACTTAGTCTCCAGTTCATTGGTGTCCCGACTCAGCTCAAACCCAGGGATCGATTGAACAGTAAGAGAGGGTGATTCCAATGCATACGTCTGAATGGTATCGTACAGCAAAGGCACAGTTTTCTTCCAAATCTTGAACTCCTCGTTGATTATCTTCTCATTATCAATATACTGAGCCTCCACGCTCTCGACTTTCACTGTCTCTGTAGTCATATGTGCCGTAAAATGGTTGTCTTTGGAGAGATGATGGTGATGAATTCTCACCAAGCCGGGACAGAATTGTAAACAGCTGCCGGTTTGTGGCCTTGTCCGTAGGGTGGGAAAAATCGCGATAAATTGTATCACGTGTGAATTCACGTGATATTTAAAAGTTGGTGTTCGGGTGTAGAAACTATGCGTTACAACGGAAAACTCACAGCAAAACCTCAACATTTTGAGCCATGTAAACAATGCTGAGCTTCAGTACAACAGTCCCTACGACCAGATGACTGAGATTACACCACAAGTAAATGCCACATGTCTGGACCTTCTCATCAACGAGATGGTTCCATTGGCGATAAGAACAACCCGGGAGCTGAAACAGTCATACGAACAGGCCATAGAATCGCTGGTACCGCAGATCTCGATAAAGGATGAGGATACAGGCGACGTTGAGATTCTGAACTCAGAACTACTACACAGTGAAGACGTCACTCATAAATTAGAAAACTGTGGATACAGCATAGGTATAAGACTGTCGGAGGTGCTGATATACAAGGACTCCCAGAATGAGATATTGAAGAACCTGGAGTTGTTGAACATTATGAAGTTCATCTGCCGCGATGTATGGAGAGAGCTGTATGGTAAACAGATGGATAACTTACGCACAAACCATAGGGGCACATTTGTTCTCATCGACAATGCCTTCAAGACCTTCCAGAGGTTTGATTCCCCAGTGGATCTCCAAGACACAATCTATAAATGTAAGCCGTACCTGTGGATTTCCTCTGGAATCATCCGTGGTGTTTTGAAAAGCTTTGGGGTTGATAGCCTGATAACTCCAGAAATCACCAAGTTTCCCATGGTGAGCTTCAACATACAGACAAATGTTTGATTAAATGGAAAAAAAAAATATGATATTATGGACTGTCATGTCATGTCATGTTATTTATGTACCAATTTAGATGCAAATTTCTTACCAGCATTAGTGAATTTTTCCTTCAATGTGCTTTTCTTCATAGTTGAAGTAAATTGGTTATGCTTGCCTTCATCGTCGTTCTCCTCTTCATCGTCTTCACGAAGGCGTTTCTCAACCGTTACGCCATTGGTCAAATATGATAGATTTCTTGTCTCGTTGAAGATTGCCGTTTGAACTTCAGAATCTTCAGCATCCAAAGGCTCAGTGAGTATCTCCTGTCTTGTGATCATATCCTCGTAGTCTTCGTCATCATCAACTTGTTCTCCTCTGTTATCTCCCATTTGGGGTTTGTTAACTATGTCGATCAGGTCCTTACCGGAGCTGACATCCTCAATCGTCTCCAACACTGTTTGATAATTAGAAACAACGTAATTGGCCAGCAATTTGAAATTCTTCTTATCACCACCCTTCTCTATGCCCATGAGAATGATCTCCAAAAGATCTAAAACAGTGGAATACGCCAAATCTGGAACAAATTGTGATTCTTGGAATAACTCAAACACATTTTGCAACAGGTCATTAGAAATGATATATCTAATGTAATATTCATCATTCAGCATAATGATAAATTTTAAGCATCTGACAGCTGAAAGTCTCAATTGTAATTTATGCCTAGGTTTGACCAGAGTTGAAATCCCCTTAAGGATATGGTTTTCCATAAAGAAGGATCTCGATAATACTTTATCCTTTGAGCAGAAACTCATGAGGTCAAACAAATACATGTACATATCCTCTTTGCATTCAGTAACCACCTTTGTTTCATTCTCTGCGGCTTGGATCAAAGGTTCAAACAGCTTTGGTGAAACTTCCTTGTAGAATGCCATGAAATATTGTGTTGTGTTGAGATTTCTATCACTGTCTTGATCACCAAATATTGCAGAAGAAGACGTGCTAGCAGGATCCAATAATGATCTGAGAGCTTCAAAAGCTTGCATTCTCAGTCCAGGATCGTTGTCCTCCAAGAGGAATTTAGTCAATACCTGGAAAAGTGTCATATCGTCAGATAAGGTGATAACTCTAGAAGTTTTCGAAGTTAATTGATCGTCTCGTTCATCTTCATAACTCTCGCTGCTAAAGGCACCATTATCATTCTCCTCACTTAGAGTTGTCTCTTCAAACCCTTGTTCGTCAGGTCCGTTAACCAGTAAAACGTCATGTTCAATTATTGACACGATTAATTCCGTTCCTTGTACTCTCACTTCCAAGGAATCATCCTTCAAGACAAAATCAATTGTCTTGAATAAGCCTTTCCTTATCAAACTTTTGTAAAAACGAGTTTTTTGCTTTGTAGGTAGATTCTTTGCAATTAACACAAATTGATGTAACAGTTTTATTCCATCCCTCTTTATGTCAACTTCGTAGTGTTGAGATTCGTCATATTTCTGCAATAACAAATCGATGAAATCACCACTCTCCAAGAACCGAATCACTTCGATATGGTTAAAATGTATTAGGGTCGAGATCACATTGAATGATGGATCGTCCAATAGTCTGGCTAATACGACATCCTTGAGGAATTGCAATCTGAAAGTTCTCTTGATCAAATTCTTCATCTTTTCATCCTTTACAGGTAAAACTTCCTTAAAGCTGGATTCATCTTGAAGATAGCTTCTATGATTTGCCTTCAACGTTGGGAAATCAGGGTCGTACTCCAAGATCCCAACAACCCCCATCATATTCTTATCGTCCAGTATCATCTCAATGGTTAAGGACTCGTTAGACACTATGAGTGTCTTTACGATATTGCACAAGAGATGAAGATTTTTAATCTTACGATTTGCCTCATTTTGGTGGAATAACAACACCAGTTTGTGAATATAATCCTGATCTTGGATGAAGCTTGAAATCACCTGTCTTTGGAACGCGCTGTTGGGGTTCTCGTTAAAGCAGTTGAAGATCGTCAACAGGTCATCAGAGCTGGGATCTTCTGGAGGTAAATTCACGGGTCCTACAATCAGCTCCGTTATATCGCCATCTTGTGAATCTCCGTTCCCTGATATCACACTAACCAATGAGATCTTAGGCGCAAGCCTTGAAGTGAAGACGTGTACTATGAAATCGCACATCTTCGAACAGCCTTCCTTTTCCTGAAACGACAGCGCTATGCTCTGACCTTCAGCTGTGGTCCACACAATCAACGTATCCTGTTGTCGTTGGAACTGGATCGTTCCTTCGATAGCCGCCTTAAGTAGTTGTTCAGTTTGATCAAGCTCGTTCCGTACAACGAGACACGGCGGCTCATCGTCATACACCTCTCCAAAGCAATAACCCGTGCCGTTATCCTCCCAAACATCAGACAAAAAGTACACCTTCACACGGTGAAACTGATCTTGCCTCATATTCCACTGAATACTTCGGAGCCACTATGTGGTGCTACGTTGTGAAGGAGTTGATAGGCAGGATCTCTGTTTGTTTGTTTGTTTACAGCGGTTTGTTGATTTATTGTTTTTCTTTGCCTGACCTTTTTTTGTGTTTGTGTCTGTTGAGTGTTTTTTTCTTTGACGCTTTTGTCCTACAAAGTTGCGGCTAAATGTCTTGGTGGCTCCGCGTAATTGTCCATGTCCTCTCCCAACAGGGACTTCATCGACATGGACATTTCTTGATTCATAACTTATTTAACTTAACTATCTGATCGTATCCCTTATAACCAAAATCGTCAATGCCAAACTTCTTTGCAAACTCCTTGCCGATGAATCTACCTCCTACGTACTGTGTAGTCTTGTCATCGAGGAAGTTCACAACGGGTTTTGGTGCAGTCAAGCTGATGAGAACCTCTGGTTGTTTGATTCCACCTTCTACAAACCCACGATCAACGTCCCAGCCAGAGGGGATATCAACGGAGAGCACTGGAATATCCGTGGCGTTGATGGTGTTGATGATGCCGTCAAACGGTGGGCGGATAGAGCCGGACTGGAAGGAAAAGCCAAAAATGGCATCGATGATGAGTTGGAATTGCGATATGGAGCTCGAGTCTAGCTCCTGGATGAACTCCACGTCCAGGTTGCGTAGTTGAGTCTCCAGGTTCAAGAAAAGCTGTTTAGATGAAGGTCTTGGGTAATAAATCGATGGGTTAAACCCCCATAGTTTCAAGTGGCGTGCAGCAACAAGCCCATCTCCACCATTGTTGCCTGGCCCAACAACAACGAGTACTTTCTTCAACAGAGGGAACGAGTCATACGTGGCTTGCGCCACTGACAACCCAGCAAGCTCCATCTACGTGCAAAACGCGGTTAGTATTACTTGTCCATATTGAGAGGAGAGCCCTTCATACTAATTGGTCGATGGAGAACCCACCGGTACTCATCAGCTCCTTATCAACCTGCTGTGCAAGCTTAGCAGTCAAAACTTTGTAACTCATTGTACTTGATATTCACTCAGAGAGATTTCCAAGACTTATCCAACGCTCATGGAAGGATCAAAGTGGAATAAAAGGAAAGGAATTGTCCCACCATTGTTTCGTTTGGTGGGGCAGTATATGGTAACCTTAAATTCTTATGTAAGCAACCCTGTCTTCGTGGCACTTCGGGAAGTCACGTGATACAAGCCTTGTTTTTCGCCAACACTGCACTTTTGCTCCTGCAGGCCAGATGTATAACCTCATCGACTCCGAGACACTTCCCATATACCACGATCTCTGTTAAGCAACTTTTGCCACTTATACATCATAACCTGTTGTGATGGAGGACGTGCCAGTGGCTGTTTGGTTCAGGAGCCTGAGAGCTGAGAACCCCGGGGGAAAACGAGCGTACGTTACACGTCGTCTTGCGTACTCATGTTGGGATATCCCGCGTTGATGCAGGTGAACCACCAGGTGATGCAACTGACGTGTTGCTATTTGAGAACCATTGTAGCTGGATAAAAAAAGGAAAGTGTAAACGTCGGATTAGCACTCAGCTGGTGTACATGTGTGTTGTGTGTTTTGATACATATATATTGTGCTTATTTGTTTGTTTCTTTTGTAAAGTAACGTGCAAGTCTCGTTCAAACCCCTGAGAGGTGGCTACTCTAGTTAAGTTATAAAAAGTTGTCATATTCGATCAATCGCATCTCAAATCAAGCACGCCCGTTACGTTAATTAGTGTCTGGACATATATATAACGGCCATCTGCTCACTTGTACGGCATTGATATCGGCACCGTGGTTAGATGATGCACTATGGACCACCAAACACATGGCAGTAAAGATGAGCAGACGCGGAACGTCACCACAACGCCAATTCAGCAAAAAGCTGGCATCAAGTTGATCTTTATGAATTCAGATGACCGGAATGAACCCAACAACCCTCAATTGGCTCCCATTGAAGCTCACCGAAGAACCAGTCAGAGTATTGCCATGGCACAAGAGGCGGCTCCGCAGACGCCTGTGGAAAATCCGGAGGACCGTACCATGCAATTGGCACTAAGGGCCACCAGCGTTGAACTGCCAGCTCAGGAAAATGCTGTTGACTCGTTAAAGAGAACAAATGACGGCACTACCACTCCTGCGAAGGCCAAAAAATCGAGGAAATTGCAAGGTGTTGGTATCAAAAAGCCTCTGTATTCTAAATATGAGACACTGTTCATCATCAAAGCCTTCAAAGCCATTTCCGATCTGAGGCCCAACTTAGTGCTCGTTGACCTTTTCAAAGTCGTTGCAGAGTTGTACAACAAGGAGGCAAAGAAGCAAGGGTTCAAAGAGAGAACCGGGGACCAATTGTATCAGAAGTATAAGAGAATCCAATATGGATTGAACCATGATGCCGAACTGGAATTTTTGGGTTATTTCAAAAGAAACAAGCACTGTCCGAAGGAATGGATCCCAGATTTCCAAGGACTGAGTGAAAATGACACTTTGAACTACATAATGCTGGACAATGTGGAAGAAACCATAGAAAGGATTTTGGGGACAGGTTCCTCGGGTGATGTCAAGCCACAACTCCAGCCAATAGATGACGTTGAGGAGAGAAATAACGATACCAATAGTTCGCTTGTGAAGGTGAAACAAGAACCCAGATCCGAGGATATGCTTATTCACGATCTCAGAGCACAGATACAAATGCTCGAGGAGAGACTGCGTTCGAAGGATTACGAGATCTATGTCCTTCGAGAGGGAAACGTCCATAGAGACAATGAGATCTCTTTCCTCAAGACCATGCTAAAAGAGGAGATCTCGTATATAAGACATAAGTTAAATGAGCAATGAATTATGACCCAACCCCGGCCTGATGAATAACCACGGCGACACCCACACGGAAAGCACCTACACCTCCAATGATCTTCACCTTGTTATTAGAAACGTTCAAAGCATACACTATTCTTAGATTTCCCAATCGGGCGTTTCGTTTTCGTTGGCGGACCGCACTTGCCCAAAGCGGAAGTCTCTGGCGTAAAAACACGCAAAACGCGAAAAACGCGAAAATTTCGCCAACCCCTCGAAAACCAGCACGCGAAAGCGCAAAAGTTGCGAACCTCGCAAATTGAAACTCGAAACATTTGCACAAAACAACACATTGTGTCCTTCGCTAACGGTGCTAATCGCAATTGCAACATTGAGCAGGTGAATCAGCCAAAGACGAACGAAATGACCGACTTGTTAAGATACAAATCCGACCATAAGAGAGGTCTGAAGTACACGATCATGGTTGTTGGTCCCTCCGGTACCGGGAAAACCACGTTTGTCAATGCCCTGTTAGATACCCAGCTACTCCCCTTCAAGTACCAACCTCTCAGTACAATTACAAACGAGCCACAGGTGATGAGCTTTGTTGGCGGATCGAGCTACAGCTTTGACTCGAGAGAGTTCAATCCGAAGCAGGACTTCTCCGAGTTCACGATTGCCATTACGAAGTCGTCGATGGAGATTGTCGATGAGGACGGTGCGAAGATCCAGCTCTCCGTCGTTGACACCCCTGGATTTGGAGACAACGTTGATAATGAGATGTGTTTTGGAGAGATTGTGCAGTATCTGCAACAGCAGTTTGACCATGTGCTTGCAGAGGAGACCAGAATCAGAAGAAACCCAAGGTTTGAAGACACCAGGGTACACATCTGCTTGTACTTTATCGAGCCAACTGGACACGGTCTTAGAGAATTAGATGTGGAGTGTATGAAGAAGTTGTCGAAATACGTCAACGTGCTGCCTGTTATCAGCAGAGCTGACTCGTTCACATCGCTGGAATTGGAGGCTTTTAAGAAGAACATCTTGTATGACATTGCAAAGTTCAGCATTCCCGTGTTCCAATTTGGGTATGACGAGGAAGAGGACGATGAGGAGGTTATCAAGGAGAATACGGAGCTGAAATCCATACAACCATTTGCCATTATGGGCAGTAAGGAGAAACTTAACGTCAATGGCCAGCTGAAATACGCTAGACAGTATCCATGGGGTGTCGTTGACGTTGAGACCGAATCTGACTTCAATCGGCTGCTGGGCGTTCTTTTTGGTTCACATTTGCAAGACTTTAAAGATCTGACGATGAACTTCTTGTACGAGAACTATAGAACTGATAAGCTGTCATCGGTGACGGAGAGCGAATCCCAGCAATTCGACGCCGGCAACCCTTCTCTCTCCAACTTGGCTGCGTTGACTCTGGAGGACAGTAAGAGTGGTGGGTCTGGTGAAGTCAGCACACCATCTATGAAATCGACGAGCTCCTTCAAACCGGATGACCAAGGGTCCCCAATCAAGGAGATTGGCGAATCTATAAAACACGAGAACGAATCTATCATCAACAACATCAAGAATTCACCAAGGGTGCCTTATTCTCCGGACCCTTCAAGAAATAAGCTGAGGGTAATGAGCGAAACCGTTCCATATGTGTTGAAACATGAGAGTATCATCTCAAGACAACAAAGGCTACAAGAACTGGAGGAGAAGTCCGCACGAGAACTGGCCATCAGGGCAGCTGCTCTGGAGAAGAAAGCTGCTGAGTTGAAGAGAAGGGAAAAGATGCTGAAGAGCAGTGCATCGTTTACGAGTTTGAAGAAGGAGGACACAATGACAGACTTATCTTCTGTTGTTAAACAAGAACAATGATTTTATAAACAAAACATAGTGTGTGTAAAGTACATTTACAGCTTTGGTGGTGCAAGGAGTCTCTTGGTAACGATCTCTGGGTACATATCCAGGATTGGAGACTGTCCTAGGTGCCATGCAGCACCATCAACAACCATCACATCACCGGAAATGTAGCTTGCTGCATCACTAAACAGAAACACCGTTGCATTGGCAATGTCCTCTTTGAAGCCTGGTCTCTGCAGTGGGATTCTCTGCGTCAGTTCCTTCAACGACTTCCCGGCACTCAACCGATCGTAGCCTTCAGTATCCTGGATCAAACCTGGTGCGATGCAATTGGAACGGATTCCCAGGGGCCCCAGCTCCACAGCAAGTGCGTTTGAAAGAGCATCCACGCCGGCTTTCGCAGCACCAACGTGTAACTGGAATGGCACGCCAACATAGTGTAACGTGGTCGATACGAAGATGATCGAGCCCTTGTTCTTCACCAACTGTGGGTAACACGCCTTGACCGTGTTAAAAGACCCCAGCAGGTCGATACTCACGACAGACTTGAACGCATTGGCTGACAGATTGTTGAAGTCAGAGATGAAATTACCAGCAGCACCACAGATGACATAGTCAATGCGTCCCAGCTCCTCAACCGTTCTCTCAACAGCCTTCACGATGCTGTGCACATCGCGCACGTCTGTTGCGCCCAACCCTAGCACTTTGGCACCAGGTCTCAGCTGGGAGATTTCGCTAGCAGCTGTCTCTGTTTTGGCAACGTTTCTACCAAGGATCGCTGCATTGGCACCCAGCAGAACCATCGCTTCCGTCTGAACACGGCAAATGGAGCCAGCTCCGCCAGTAACAAACACCACTTTCCCTTTGAAGATGTCCTTCTTGAACTGCGTTTTCGCTAAAAAGTCCTTGTCAATCGCCATGTTTTTACCGTTTTTCTGTGCTGTGATGGCTGGAAGAGGAAGGAGAAGGGCGAAACGATGCAAATGACCTCTTTATATAACCCATTGATGGGCTTTCTGATTCCGTGGGTTAAATGACGGGCGCCATCGGTGGAGAGCGAAATTGTGGGGAAGAAAACACCCAGACACCATAACACCTGAACACCAGAACATCCGAACACCAGAACATCCAGACACCTTTGCCCCTGCCAGTTTAACCCACGGAACATCCCGGCTCCTTATAGAAGCTCGTAATTGGAGCTGCATAGACTGCATCTTCAAATACAAACCGTTCCACCGTTGAGGCTTTGACACCGTTCAAATTGCAGCGTGAATTAATAATCACAGACTGCTCCACCGTTTCAGTCGCACCGTGTCTGTCATTCGAGGCGTTTCCCAGGCAAGAGTTGTATAAATTGAGGCTCATCTCCTCACAAATCTCGATAATAGCAATCAACATCTGATCCCACCCCTCATCACACATATTGATCCAAGAGAGAACAAATATGGGCTATCCAACTCCCTTGGTCGCTTTCAACAGACTTCTGTTCCCATCCACGTTGATCTCTTCGACGAGATTCACCCGATTTGACAAGTTCAACTTTGGTAACAGAATGGCACTTATCCAAATACCAAATACCCAGGACGTTGTCGTTTGGAATTCCCTTCCAATGGGCGAGGAGTTTGATAAAGCTCTGGAAATCTTGTCCAAGGACTCAAAACTCAACTTGTACGCTGCAATCATCCCAGATAAAGAGCACACAATGGCTGCCGAGGGACTGAAGAAGAACCATCCTGATATCCTCCTTATTGGACCATCTGGTATCACTGACAAGCCAAATCTCAAGCTCGACCATACATTCGAGGACTCTCAGGCCAACAAGGTGATTCCTGGTGCTTCAGTGGACCCTAAATTGGACAACTTCGACTTTGTATTCTTCAATGGACATGCAAACAGAGAAGTTGTCGTTGTGGATAAAACAACGAGAACTGCTTTCGAGGCAGATTTGCTCTTCAACATCCCTTCAAACGGTAAGAACTTTGACCAGTACGGAGAGGACAACCAAAATGGTAACTTTTGGGGGTTCTTGACGTCAAGACTGAATCCAGAGTCTTCAACGGGTAGATTCCTACACCAAAGGTTGTTGAAAAAGACCCCGGAGTCCCTCCAGGGCTTGAAAGCTCTACTCTCGTTGGACTTTGATAACGTTGTCATGTCACACGGTGAGATTATCCAAGGTGACGGCAAAGCAGCTTTTAAAAAGATGTTCAAATCGTACTTGTAATTCAATTCACGTTTATCTAAGACAGAAAGTTCTACTTTAGAAGGGTACTATATCCAAAATTGTAGAAACACGGTACACGGTTTAGAAATTATCCCATTGTTCCTCTTCTGGTTTAGTAACTTTCTTGCTGGATATACTTTGCAATTTGGTCTTTTGCTTTGGACGCTCTAATCCAAACGCAGGTTTAATTTCCTCGTTACTGTTCTCTTCACCCAATCCATCAAAGAGTTGGCCATATTTACCACCAGCATCGCCCCCTGCTTGGACTCCACTTACGCTCAACCTGTTGAACGCTTCGAATCCATATTGACTCGTTTCCTGGAACTTCTGACCAAATTGAGCAGCTGCTCTCTTGGCCTCTGCGCTCAATTCACTAGACGTCAACTGTTGAATACCAGGTTTGACCACAGTTTCGTTCACCTCTTCCAGTGATTTCGACACGGTCGAGGAGAACAAGGACCACCCTTTGGAAAAAGTACCCATAGGATCCCTTTGGAAATTATCCATGGTGAATCCAGCAAGTGAGCCTCCACTAGACTGTGTAGGTTGTGGAGTGTTACCAAAACCTTGGAACTTACCACCTTGTGACGGTGGTAAGTGATCTGGTCTTGAATCATTCTTAGCACCCAAATCAGCGAAGTAAGCCTCGTTTTGAGCCTTCTTATTAGCAGGCAACGAAGATGGGGTCCCCTTGCGTGATACGATCGGTGTGTTGTTCTTTGACGTGGCAGCAGCAGATGCCGTGCTGTTTGTAGTTATCGATGCTGACCCATTAGACGCGCTCTTTGCCTCATCCAATTTCAAATTGGAGTAGTCTCTTGGAGTGAACTCCTTACCTTCAACCTCGCATGTCAGTTTCTCCTTGTAATCTTCAGCAACGATGTTGTCAAACTTCACCTTTGGATCGCTCTTGAGATCAACACCGTTGGAAGAGAGGTAGCTGGCACACTTCTCATTACCGCCGAGCTCCATTCTCTTAACCTCTTCTGGCTTGAACTGATCCATGGTGATTGATCTCACAAAGGAGATGTGAACACCGAGTCCACGGTGGACACCAGCACACTCCAAACATATGAAGATACCAAACTTTGGTGACGCCCATTGTGGGTTTGGAGCGTCACAGTCAAAGCAGCGCTTATTAGCACCGGTCTTTTGCAATTGAAGCAACTTCCGTCTCGTATCAGGGTCAACAGTCCAGTCACCAGCCATGTTAGAGCCACTCTGAGAGTCTTATTGTGTGTTTAAATGGGACTGATACCTCGTTTGTTGTTGCCTTTGGTTGTTGTTTCTTTGGCGGCTGAGGAAGGATGAAAACATCAACAGTTTGGACACCGTCGTCAAGTTGGTGTGCGGGTGTGTGATTATGTAAGACACGCGCGTTGGATTTCTTTTTTTCGTTTTGGGGGCTGAGAGAGAGCTTTTTGTTGTTACTGTGGCAACAGTGTAACATCAACAGTGTAACGTCAACAAGCAGGCGTATTCCTATGGGAGAGCTGTTTAATTGAAGAGGTGAGTGTATCTCACTGTGGCAGAGAGCACTTTGGGCACATTTGCAGGAACAGCTGCTATAACTCCACGGGCATGCTAGTTTTCTACGCTGTTCAATTGGTGCTTCGGCCGAACAGTAGTTTCAGGCATCGTCCTTGCACCAAGGATGACTGATGTAATAGGCAGGGAGTGTGGCAACTTGAACACACACAGACCCATCACTGTCCAAGCCTCGGGGCTTGGGTCCTGGGTCCGTTCCTCCTGGAAAATACAACGTGTCCAATACTGACTGCTTAACTGAACTGTATCGGTTTCTGTTCCCCTGTTCACGTCTACCACCTCAGTAAATGATGATCCTTAGCACCCCCACATATCATGTATTCTTCCAGTAATCTGAACGAACAATCAGCGGTCAATGGCTTGAGCACTCCAAAGAGGCAACCCCCTGTCTCTCTCGCCAACAGGTCTTCTAGTTGGTTGTTCATGATCTGTAAACCACCTTATAATCTTCCTCACTAAGTGATTATATTCTTGGTACCGGCACACTAGTGCTGGTTGGTCACTGTTGCTCCGGTTACAGTTTCCATATCACCGCGTCGGCCTTATAACAATGTAAACAAAGTGATTAACCATTAACGACTCTTTGGTGACAGGTTTGGCATTCAAACAGCCATCCGCCGTTCTGGATCCGTAGTTTTGAGTCTAATGTCTACTGTCCATGAAACGCTATGTTGAAGGAGGCTGCCTCGGCTAAGCGATGCCTTGATTTCTCCAATCATCGCTGTACTATGCCCAAAGAGTGTAAACAAAGTGATAACTTCTGGTATGTTGGCACACGATCTGATGCTCTGTCCTAGGAAATGGCAAGTCGTCCTGTCTTTTCACTCGCCAGGTCTCGATAGCAGCATCTCACAACGAACTGAGTCGGCTTTTGTCTCTACTGCACTCGTTGAGCAATTTTTTGAAGAACTCATCATGAGCAAGCAATACTGGATGCTCTACACGACCCTGAAGAGATACACATCTCTTGTTGCTACGTCCAGAGAATCCATTCACGTCGTATAGTGAGTGACTTCAAGGGCATTCTGTTGATTTGGATCACAAATATCGGGCCCTTTCAAGGCTGACAGTGGTGTCTGTTGCCATGGAATGAAGACTGGCTTCAAGGGTCTCTACGGTTCACCGTTGTACAGCGTTTCGTGTTATACTTGAAGACTATCCAGAGCTCAGATATAGTTAACTACACGGGCCTATACTCAAAACAACACTAGTCAATTACGCTATACAAAGATTCTACTTGGCTTCCTCCTTCTCGCTCTTACCTGGGATGACGGAGTCATCTGGCTTCAAAGTTGGGAAGAGCAAAACTTCTCTAATATTATTGGAATCTGTGAGGAACATGGCCAATCTATCAATACCACAACCCCAACCACCGGTTGGTGGAAGACCGTATTCCAAGGCGTTACAGAAGGTCTCGTCAACCAATTGAACCTCGTCATCACCTTGGTCCTTTTGTCTGGCTTGCTCTTCGAATCTTGCTCTTTGGTCGAATGGGTCGTTCAACTCGGTGTAAGCATTACAGATCTCCTTGGTAGCAACAAACACCTCGAAACGTTCACACAAACCTGGGATATCTCTGTGGTATTTAGCCAATGGGGACATCATCTGTGGGTGACCAAAGATGAAAGTTGGGTTGATACAGGAATCCTCCAACTCACCAACAAGCTTGTCGAGCATTCTAGCGTTGGTCAAAGGTGGTGGACAGTCCAACTTGTTCTTGATCAAGATTTGTTTCAAGAACTCACCAGTTTCAGCAGTGTGCAATTGGTCACCTGCTGGGAACTTGACGTCGTACACCTTCTCAAGCTCTTCAATCATGTTGATTCTCTTCCATGGTCTAGAGAAGTCCAAAGTGAGTTCCTCACCGTCTGGACCATCTGGGTGATACTTGATCTTATAATCACCAGTGATAGACTTGACCATCTCAGAGAACAAAAGCTCGGTCATGTCCATCAAATCGTAGACATCGGCATAGGCCTGGTAAAACTCACAGGTGGTGAACTCTGGGTTGTGGGTCAAGTCAATACCTTCGTTTCTGAATTGACGACCAATCTCATAGACACGGTCCATACCACCAACAACACACTCCTTCAAGAACAACTCTGGAGCAATACGCATGTACATGTCCAAGTCCAATTCGTTGTGATGGGTGATGAATGGCTTAGCAGTGGCACCACCGGCGATGACGTTCATCATTGGTGTCTCAACTTCGATGAACTCCCTGTTGTCCAGGAACTTTCTGATGTAAGAGATGATCTTGGATCTTGTGATGAACTTGTTTCTAACGTTGTTGTTGACGATCAAATCCAAGTATCTCTTTCTGTATCTTTGCTCCTGGTCCTTGAAACCGTAATGGTCGGTTGGCAACATGTGCAAACATGGTGTCAAGAGTTGAACCTTTGTTGCAAAGATGGACAACTCACCTTCACCACCCTTCTTTGGCTCAGTTCTACCTGGGTAACCGGTAACACCGATGATATCACCTCTCTTGAGCAATTCGTGTGCAGTCTCATAGTCCTGTTCCTTGGAATCTTGAGCTTGTGCCATGATTTGAACCTGGACACCATCCGATCTCAAGACGTAGAACTTCAACTTTGAGCCGGACTCTCTCTTGGCAATGACCCTACCTGCAACTGACAGCTCAATCTCCGGCTTGGTCTCACCACGTTTCAAGTCCTTGAACTCCTCCAGGAACTGTCTGATGGACTTGGTCACGTTGAACTTGTGAGGATAAGGGTTTGGGGACTTTGTGTGTCTCAACTCATCGATCTGTCTCGATCTGATCTCGAAGAACTGGTTTGGAGTCAAGTCCTGCAACACATCCTTCTTCTTTGATGGCTTGTCGCCACTAGCAGCCTTCTTGGCTGCTGCTTCTTTGGCCTTTGCGGCCTTCTTAGCATCGTTCTCACGCTTCTTCTGTCTCTTCTTCAATTCAGACTTGGAAACCTGTTCACCGGTAACCTCGTCGAGGTAGAGCTTCTGCACCTGTTCGGCCAATTGATCTGACATCTTTCACGAACTTTACAATCCACTTTGACTGGAATGGGAACAAGTGGGACGGAGCACAAGATGTCGACAACCTGTGAGAATTTTTTTTTTGCTGCGTGCACTAGGTCTCCTCGTCATACAAAAGGGATATTTAGGTGGGATTACGTAATCTGACGATGTAACACTGGCGAATGAAATGGCATCGCCAGCTAGCCAATTGGGCCTTATAATGGAGAGGAGATGCTATAGTTAGCGATTGAAGAGCAGCAGGATCATTGGCTGTGGGACTCGATTGATGTGAGCAAGGGGAACCGAGCGTTGTTTCCAGGAGATGATTGTGCTGGCCAAAAAAAAAAAATAATGGATCCTATGAGATTCGAACTCATGCATCTTACGATACTCGATCTTGAGTCGAGCGCCTTAAACCGCTCGGCCAAAGATCCATTTTCTTGTTCTCGAATGTTTGTCGCTGAAGGCACAGAGCACATCCGAGGGACACATCATGTGACACCTCGGAACTTACCCTTCTGGGAACACCCACTTCCCAAAGCTTTGCTCGCAGGCGAAGAAGGAAAAAAAATTTCATCTAACGTCCAAGAGTTGTAGCAGAGGGCTTGAAGCAGGCCGCTAACGGGATAAGAAGGATGAGCAAATCAAAGGCACAGTACACGGAGCCAACCACCACGGTTGTGCAAATCGAAACAAGCGTAAGTGAATTACAGCGTATTGAGCATGACGTTTGAGGCTGAAGGAGCGATTTACTAACACACCTGGAAAGACTGCGCTCAAGATCATCAAGCACGCGTCTGAAAGATTCCCACGTTCTGCCAGTGGACCGCTGTTAGGGTTCGACGTCCATGAAGATGTTTTGAAAGTCACGCAGTCGCACCGTTTCCCGTACTCTTCAGACGACGAATCACCATATAGACACAAGGAGAACGGCAGATACCAAGAGGAGCTTTTGGAGCAGTTGAAAGTGACTGACGGGACCATACAGCTCTTGGGATGGTACCAATCCTCTGTGAGTGGTAAGGCCTTCTCAGAGAGCCTTGTTGACTCCATGGCTTATGGCCAATTGAGACAGAGTGCCAACTCTGTGGTGATCACTGTGGATCCAAGTAAAGCACAGTATGGCGTTTTGTCCCTCAGAGCCTTCAGATTGACGAAACCGTTCCTCGAGACCTTCATCGCCAACGACTACTCCGTGGAGCAGCTGAACAAGGTTGAGCTGTCGTTCGACAAAGTGTTTGAAGAGTTGCCTGTTCAATTGCACAACAACTACCTGACTTCGCTGTTGTTGGCCGCTAACGATGAGGACTTCTACCACAGCACACAGGCCTTGGAGGCCTCGTCCCTCAAATCAAAGGCCCTCGGGACAAACGTTGAGACCTTGATTGACTCCGTTGATGACTTGAACCATCTCTATAACCAATTGAACAGAAAGAAGAGCACTAACCAGGAGGTTAGCCTGCGTGAATGGTTACCACTCTGTGAAAAGATCAACTTCACTGCAAAGGACGTTGAACAGCAAGTTGTTTCCGACTTCCTCACCGACAGTGTAATCAGACAATGAAGAGCTACTCTTTACAATCAAATAATAACAAGCAATATCACCAGAGCGAGCCATACAACGCCATAGGAAAGATATATGTAGAATTGCGCTGTATATATACGTCTAGCCTGGAAAACATCCAAACACCACAGTACTTAATATGAAAAGCCGAGGGTCCTCGGTCGCTTCTATTCACTCCTTCTCTTCCCCTTCATCAACAGGCAATTTCGAAGGATGGGAAGGCCTAGGGTGAGTATCGGCTTGTTGTGTGTGTGTGCTTGTATTTCCGAGTCCTTGTTTAGACTAACGAGCGTGTTGACAGCTGATTATTCTCGTTAGGCATGGAGAGAGCGAAGGTAACTGTGACAAGTCAGTTAACCGACACATACCTAATCATAAGATTGCGCTTACTCCTAGGGGACACGCGCAGGCTAAGCAGGCTGGTTTGGAGCTGAGATCTGTGCTGAAGGAGGATGACTCTGTGCTGTTCTATACGTCGCCGTATCTGCGTACAAGACAAACCCTTGATGGTCTGATTAGCGGGCTGGAGGGATGTGACGTTGACTATAAGGTGCATGAGGAGCCACGGATGAGGGAGCAAGATTTCGGCAATTTCCAGGCCAGCAGTGATGAGATGGAGAAGATATGGACGGAGCGGGCTCACTATGGGCACTTCTTCTATCGGATTCCGTTTGGAGAGAGTGCTGCAGACGTCTACGACAGATGCGCAGGGTTCAACGAGACTCTCTTCAGGCAATTCCAAAGCGACAAGTTCCCCAGCGTGTTGGTTCTCGTGACACACGGGATCTGGGCGAGGGTGTTCCTCATGAAGTGGTACAGGTGGACCTATGAGGAGTTTGAGTCGTTGAAGAACGTGCCGCATTGCCAGCTGATCACCATGGAACGACCTCCTGACACGCACAAGTTCACGCTGAAGACCACTTTGCACAAGTGGGAGGAGGACGACGATGACTGCGCGTACCTGGAGGAGTCCAAGACCGACGTCACCAAGAACTCCAACAGTTACACCGATATGTCTGCGCTGAACCAGTACGATGACGGACGGTGTGTTTCCAGGGATGATGAGATCAGAAGGGAGAAGGAGAGGAAGCTGAGGGAGATGTTTGATAAGGCTAGAGGCGAGTACAAGACGTGATGAGCAGGGAACACACGTATGGCCGGTTGCGGTGTGGTAGGCGTGACGGTGGTTATAACTCTTGTATGAATCGTTATATTATAATGTAATATAATATGGTATGACGTAATATAACATTATATAACATTATATAACATTATATAACATTATATTAAATGCGTGGTGTGGTGCTCACCGAAAACGTCTGATGGTGGCCTTTTGGACGAGCTTTTATACCCGGAGCAAAGTTTCAGGGGCCTCTTCTCTCTTCTCTTCTTTCCTTTGTTCCTTCTCTTCATCATCAAAGCATCAATTCATCAATTGATCACATTTTAAAGAGAACATCTAATAGAAAACAGAAACAATGGCCCGTAAGTTCTTTGTCGGTGGTAACTTCAAGTTGAACGGTTCCAAATCAAGCATCAAGGAGATTGTTGAGAGACTCAACACTGCTCGTCTTGATCCAAACACCCAGGTTGTCATTGCACCACCTTCCACTTACTTGGACTACACCGTGGAGTTGGTGAAGACTCCTCAGGTTGAGGTGTGTGCGCAGAACGCCTACACCAAGGGCTCTGGTGCCTTCACTGGTGAGATCTCCGTCGAGCAAATCAAGGATGTTGGTGCCACCTGGGTGCTTTTGGGTCACTCTGAGAGAAGAACCTTGTTCCACGAGTCCGATGAGTTTGTTGCTGAGAAGGTCAAGTACGCCCTTGAGTCTGGCTTGAACGTCATCCTTGCCATTGGTGAGACTTTGGAGGAGAGAAAGGGTGGTATCACTGATGAGGTGAACCAACGTCAATTGGCTGCTGTGATCAAGCTCGTTAAGGACTGGTCAAAGATTGTCATTGCCTACGAGCCGGTCTGGGCCATCGGTACTGGTTTGGCTGCCACTCCTGAGGATGCCCAGGAGACCCACAAGAACATCAGAGCCTACCTCAAGCAAGAGTTGGGTGAAGAGGTTGCAGAGGCCACCAGAATCTTGTACGGTGGTTCAGCCAACGGTAAGAACGCCCCAACTTTCAAGGACAAGGCTGACGTTGATGGATTCCTCGTTGGTGGTGCTTCCTTGAAGCCAGAGTTTGTCGATATCATCAACTCTAGAGAGTAATTATAAGTACTTTTCTGCCTTTGATAATGAAAATAAAAGAAATGCCTGAATTGAATGGAAATTAAACCTGTAGAGAGCCTATTTAAACGTCGAGATAGATCATATGCTATATACCTGGATTTGAAAGCATTAGTGGCGTCATTGGTACCTCGTCGTTGTTTCCAACTGGATATAGTAAAGGACTCGAACTGCCATTGGTCAATGTCGCTGTGGTGGTTGTGGTTGTGTTTGAGCTGTTCTGGCGATTGAGACCTGGAGGGAACCCATGCTGACGTTGTAGTGACGCTGGTAGCTGTTGCTGTGATAGTATAAACCCGGAAGGCGACGATGTTACTGATGTTGGTCCAAAATGCGGCGTCTCGGGTATCTGTATGGTAATCTGTTGCTGTTGTGCCTGTTGTACTTGTTGCTGAGATGCTCTTCTATACATCTGTGGATGTCTCTGCTGATGGAAACTGGCCCTCGCATGCGATGAGAACGACGTTGTTCTTGAGCCTGGCCTAGAGCTGCCACCAGCCGTAGTTCTCTTCTTCAACTCAGGCGAACAAGTGGAAGAGCTGTTGTTGTCCATATACTGCTGCTGGTACTGTTGATCTCTGCCGAGCGAGAGCAACGATATGGTCGACAGGCTCGGCAGCAGCCTGTTGCTATCCATGGACGTGGCCATCAACGTTGGCGACTCCGTGCTGCTGATGTTGTATATATCATCGTCCAATATGGCATTCTCGTCTTGGGTGTTGTTGATGTAGAACGACCTCTGTGAACTTATCGAAGAGCAGGTAGAGGCACACGACGTACGTCTTGAGCCTCCGTCAGCACCAACAGCGGTGCTGTTGGTGCCTCTAATACCACCGTTTGCACCGCTAGTCACTGGCAAGCTCATCAGACTGGTGTTGGTCGTAACTATAGGGGTTGCTGGTGGCCCTGCCTTCTGAGTAGTCAAAGAGTTTGTCAGCTGTTGAAACTCCTTTTTGCTCATGGTCTTCTTCTTCAATGGTGAAGTGAACATCCAATCCTGACACTTTCTTTTCGCACGCTTAATCTGTGTGTTTGTTGGAGTGTTAAAAGTGGTTTGAGAGAGCAATTGTAGGTGAAAAAAAAATTAGTATGGAGGAAAAACTTTCGGCATGACGCTTTGATACGAGGTGTCCCAAAGGGGTTAAATTTGTCGTTTTGTGAAGCTTCTGACATTTGCGAACTTGCATTGCCCAGTTCGGCAATGTATTTGCGCAAATAGGCTGCTTGCGCCGAATGTCAGACTCACCGCCTATTGCGAACTATCAAAGGTTCCTATTGGTTGGGAAGAGTTGGGGAAGTTCAATGTACACAGCTTGTAGAATCAGCTGCGTGAGCCTCTCCGTGGACGTAGAGTCTCCCAGCGTGGTTCAATCTCTAGGAGTCATCGCAGTGGCGCAAACCATCACGGTGCCACTGATCGTGGCTGATGGTGGCTGATAGTGGACAGGACATATGTAGCGTATTGGAAGTGTGGACAAAGAGTCGGCTATGCTATTCTTTCTAGAGACAGAGGTGCGGGAGCCTACTCTGCTCCAGCCCCTAGGGTCCCGTTGGAAAAGCTATTGGACATAGGGAACAGGTTGGGTCGCTCATTCCACAGCGTCTCACATGATTCCAAGTTTCAACATCGGCCGTATGCGGCTAAATGCCAAATAGCCGTTAAAGTGGTACAAGGATCAAGCTGGTTCGTATAACTCCCCTACATGTGCAATGAGCCCTATAATGGTGTGCTTACTACGCTGTCGATCTTCCCGTAATATCCCTAAAACTAACATGTATTCCTTCATCCATTTGGACCCCCAGGGTCCGATAAAAAGTAACAACCAGGTGCTGCCAAAGAGGCTTGCTCGTGTTCCAGCTTAGACGTTCCGTCTGATCCTTTTGCGTCTGGTCTTTGGATTCTGATGAGTACGGAAGTGTTGCATGCAGTTATCCTGTCTTGCAAACTTAGCACCACAACCTTCAAAAGGGCAAACGTGTTTACGCTCACCGGTGTGGATTCTTGAATGGCGAGCCAGATGGCCCGACGTGGTGAAGCACTTTTCACAGATCTTGCATCTGTACTTACGCACACTCTTTGACTCCGAAAGGTCAACGTGTACAGGTGAGCTTGCAGGCTTACTCGTTGACGTAGCACCAGTCGGGGTCGAACTGGAAGCTGTGCCTGGTCTCTGTCCTAGTATAAAAGTCTTCACAGGCGCGGTTTGGTTTGCCGTCGTGTTCAACGCCTGTGATAGAGATGGCAGCACGGTCTGTGGTGTATATAGAGGTGACAGTGGTCTTGGAGTAGGCGTGGTTGTTGCCATTGGTGTTGTCATCTGCGGTATTAAGAAAAGTGGCTGTTCTTGTATTTGTCCCTGTCCCTGAGCCTGTGGGTATCCCCTTGGATACGGATAACGTTGTGGAGGTGGGTATTGTTGATATACTTGAAGATGCTGTAGTTGTGGATGCGCCTGTTGATATGTGTACTGGAATGGGTGTGGATGAGCAGGGGTCTCTGCCAAAAGAGACGAGATTGGTGGTAGGGACATGGTCACCTGTGTCATATTTCCTTCTTGTCTGTGCAACTGTTTTGTCCTATCCGTTACAGAGTGTACGCTGCTATAAAAGAGACAAATTTGGTCAAAGGCAAAATACTGGACAAATGGTCGATTCAAGGTTTATGGCCCCCTTTATATATGGGCGACTAACGAAGGAGGGAAAAGCAAGACGCAAGAAAAAAATGTCTCAAGTTTTTACATATCAACAACACACAAGATACCCATGGAGACACAGAAAACCGTTGCCGCGCTGCATCCACAATCCAAGAGGTGCTTGAGCGCTTCTCCCTCTCTTCATCACCCCCCTCAAGGTTAGAGTTTTAGGTGTAAGCTGCGCATACGTCGTACAGCAAAGGTTTTTGCAAAAATGCTGGGCAGGGTCTCACGTTTCGTGGCGTTTCTGCGCGCTTTTTCCTGCTTGGCCCAACTCTGCACGATCTGAGCAGCTGATCTGGACGTCTCGGCGCAACTTTGAAGGCCTCTCATTGGACAGACGTCGCGAGGCTTAACTGTTAATTTCTCCCCCCCCCCCAAAAGGTCTTGAGTGAACAAAAGCAGCAGGGAAAAAAAGCCAAGACTTTTCCAACAAAGCCCCTACATAAAATGAAGGTGAAAGCAAGAGCCCCCCCTCAGGCTACGGGGGAGAAAATAGTTAAGGGTTCACCGCTTGTGTCTTGTCCGCTTGGTATCCAGGCCCGCTGGGCTTCACACCCTGGTTCTGTACATTAAGCGCAAAACAGCCCTCAACACAAGTGTGCTCAGACTGACCACTGAGGGGACATTTACAACCCAGTGCTTGTCATCTTTACGTAAAGCCCAAATTGCAAACTATAATTAGACACCTTAGCACTGGGATCTCTAATAAATTTATGTGCAATTAAACACGCGCGGGCACAGCCCCGACCCCTTTTGGTGGAAAGCCATGTTTGCCAAATTCCACCGACACCACACCCTTCGTCCCCATTCCAACCAGCACATAGACGGAAATTAAACTGCAAGTGATACTCCTTCCGATCATGTAGGAATGGACAATCATACGTTAAACATGTGAAGTGAAGTTCACACATAGTACACGGCATCGTTGTATAGAAAAATAATGCCAGCTGCTGGTGTGTAAGGTCTTTAGTCTACGGTCTTGGTACGCCAAGTTCGCTACAACAAGTTCGCTACACCAAGTTCGTTTCCCTTCAAGTGTCTGGACATGTCGGCAAACACCGGTACTTTCTTAACATTGACGTGTGATATCGCAGAGCCAATCACAAAGGCTGCCCAGGTGTCGTTCCGTTCCGCATTGGCGGTGTCTCACTTTGATTTTTTTTAGAAAAACTTCCGAGCATGTATCTGGTCAACTGATCAGCGCTTCCACGATCGTATTCAGTTCAGCAAGGATCACATGTAACGACGTCTAAAACGTCATAGTACAGAACAATTACCAAACTCATTACACAGAGCTGTGAGCAAGCTCAAAGTGCGCGTTGGTTCATGGCTTTTTAGTCTCTTGCAAGGCTTATCTTTAACGCATGTTTGTCAACTTCTGAAGTTCAAGAGATCTCCTCAAACGCAGTATATTGTAATGCATAACTGTGCGAAATGGACATATGGACATTTGAAGCAAGCAGCAAGTAGTAATTACGCTGCGAGTTATAGATATCCGCCTCTAACAACCCGCACGTTTCTCCTGTGCGTTTTTTTAGCTTTCTTTTTTCATTAGCTCAGTTACACTGTTATTTTAAACTTTTGACTGGATCAGCTAATAACGAACTTTAACTAATGGTGTCCACGAACCTGGGCTGTGTTCGGTATAAGGGACATGCTACTTGTTTCACAGTTCTCACTCCTCAGTAAACACCGTTGTGTTCCGATTTCTACGGACCATTGGAAAAACAAAGTTCGGGCTTATCACTAAATTTGGCGCAGACCGGTGGTGGGACATACATCGCCTGTATCCAGTGTACATGCCTGGCGAGGTGTAAAACATCATAGTGCGCTGCTTTCATGACCACGCCCCCCTCCCCCATTTTTGAAATGGTCACAATCAAGTGGTCTAATTTAGAGATCATCTTTTGTGTAGAAACGGATAGGTATGGTGTACCGTCTAGATGCATTTAACCTTGATGTTTCAGGACATGTCAAAGCCATCTCAAGCTGTTTTTGCCAAGTGTTTCATATTTTGCGAGTGTATGTGTCTTTTGTTCAAGTACATCCATATGTGGCCTTAACTGATTTACGAGACGACGACGCGGACATGGGACACGCATTCTACATGAATTGGGTGAAAACTGTGACCATGCTCGAAACATGAGCGGTTACAGCAGGCAATAGATAGGTTGCAATGGTTTGGCTTTAACAACAGAAAAGGGACAGCGGACATCATTTCAACAATTGGGACTGTGAGGAGTCTAATTTGGGCCCAAGGACATTTACCCGATGCTAATTGCGTTTACAAAGTTAAACGGTGATCGGATGATATTTTTGTCTGGTTTGATGAAAGGCTGTTCAGACATTTGTGTGACGTGGCTGAAATCCCAGCATTGGCTCATGATTTTTGGACCTGGTCCCGGAACTTATATGTCACATGATGTCGCACGTGATATATGCCCCCGTATTTACACTCCTCCATCAGCTTTCAGTGCACTTCCATCAACACTTTGCAGCCATCTGTGCTTTCTCTACGATAATTTGTAGCCTTAAGAGTGCTTACGATCCCAGTGAATGATGAGTCTCAACTATGAAACCTTCACAAGGGACAGGCTTATTCACTCGTTGCTTCGAGATCCCCGCATTAAAAGGGTTGGGAGACCTTCAAAGAATGAATATGACTATTCTGATCTGTTACAAGGAGAGTTGGTGGTGACGAGGCCCAGGGGCCGTCCTAGGAATACTTCTTCAACGAGGACTAAGATCAACCTGAAAGAGGCCATTATTGAAGTTATGCCCGGAGAGATGGCCTCTGGCGCCCCGATGAAGACAACCAGAAGAGGAAGGGTGGTACGGTCAAGGTTCAGAGAGGTTGCGGCTGATTCTGACTCAGATAACAATAGCAACAACGTGAATGAAGCGAAGGTGAAGCCCAAGAGAGGGAGAGGAAGACCGAAGAAAGTTGTTCCTGATGGATTCTTGACAATTGTTAAGGAGGAGCCGGGGAAGCGGAAAAGAGGAAGACCAAAGGCTGGGATGATCTCGGTAGTTAAAAAGGAGGATGTGTTCAATACTGAAAGCAGCAGTGACGATGATGATGACGATAAATCTGATGACCAATCCGACTGTCAAACTACCTTTGTATTCGTGAATGCTCCAACATTGAAGCCTGCCACTTCAAAGAAAGAGCTGGCCTTGAACAAACACAAGATTGTTAAACTTGACCCTTTCCAGTCTCCAAAGAAGCAAAGACATGGACTAATTCAACTGATCACCACTGCCACATCTCCTGTGAAACGTGGTGCATGGACAATATCTCCTCAGAAGCCTGCTAATGGACGCTCAGGTAATATGGCAACTCCTAAAAGGGCCAAGTTGGAAATGCAGGACAGGTCTGCCAGAAAGAGGGCGAATGATAGGCTGGACTACATTCTCCAAGATGGACTAAGTTCCGCCGATGAGGATACAGAGGCAGATAGGCGTCTTGCTGAAACAATCATCAATGAATCTAGGAAGCAGCAACAGCATCAGCAAAGCGATTCGGACCAATTACCAACATTCGACCCAGCGTTTGTTCCCACCCCCTTACCTTCTTTACAGCAATATAATGAAGATGGCAATGACTTTGAAGGAGATGTTGATGAAAAGGCGTTATTCCTAGATGGGTCAGATGGTTACTTCGATCAACATAGGTTTAAACCCAAAAGCTCTGCTAATTCGTTGTTGATGGCCCCTCAGCTGGATTACGATGAGTTCAACTCCTTGGTTTTGTTCAGTGGGTTTGTTCACTTCAACCAAAGACTTAGAGTGATGCATTTGTACCAAGAGCTATACACACAGTGGTGTTTTGAACTCAAGTTCGGCTTCAACCTGCTATTCTATGGCTTAGGCTCTAAGAGGAAGCTGCTATTGGACTTTGTCGAGAGTTGTGTGATGGACCTCTACGGAGATGACGTGCCAGTGCTGGTTATCAATGGATATAATCCATTGACAAACTTCTCAGAGATCCTGAAGAACATCACAAAGCTTGTGAAGTTGACCAAATCCCTACCTAAGAGAACTGGTGAAATAGTTGAATTCTTGACGAGTCATTATTCCAAGAAATACCAGAGATCAGACAAAGTCGAGCTGATACTGTTGTTCCATAACATTGATTCCGAGCCCTTAAGGGATGAACGAACACACGACTACCTTTCGAAGTTATGTTCCATCCCTCAGTTTAGGACAATTGCGTCCATTGATCATATCAATGCACCATTGTTGTGGGATTCTGTTCGATTATCAAATTTCAAATTTGTTTGGCATAACGTTACCAACTTTGAAGACTACTTAACTGAGATGTCGTTCAAGGATCCTCTAACGTTTGGACAATCTAACAAATCGTTGGGCTCCAAGGGAGCCAAATATGTGCTGTCCTCGTTAACTTCGAACTCGAGGGCTCTTTATAAGATTCTAGCACAGATTCAACTGGGGTTGATGAACGACGACGAATCTTCGAAGAAGGAGGAAATTGGGCGTTCACTACGTGGTTCTATAAAACATGCTATTGAATTTTCCAGGTTATTCCAAAGATGTTCAGAGGAGTTTATCTCCTCCAATGAGATCAACTTCCGTACTATGTTTATGGAGTTTGTTGAGCACAAGATGGCTACTTTAACCAAGGATCAATCTGGAACTGAGATGGCTTATATACCGTTCACTATGGATGAGATTTCCAAATTATTGAGGGATGAATTGCAAGATTAATCTTGGCTTTCACCTTGGCTTTCACCTTTGCCTTCACCGTCACCTTCACCTTCACCATCACCGTCACCGTCACCTTTGCCTTCACCTTCACCGTCACCTTCACCGTCACCTTCATCTTGCCCAGCTTCTCTCTTCTTATGAGATCTTTTCCTTCTCTTCTTCGTCTTCTCTGTAGTTTGCTGCTGCTCATTCTCGCCTGACTTCACCTTCTTCTTCTTTATGCTCAAAGGATTTGGTTGCTTTGGTCCTTTCCTTTTCTTCTTCGTCTCTGTCTCTCCTGTCTCGTCATCTTGCTCAGCGTTGGCAACGCCACTCTTCACACTGTTCAAGCCATGAGTCAACTTGTTCTTCTCCTTTGACGTTGAAACCAGAGCACTTGCTTTACTTAGGGGCTCCATAACCATCACAGACCTGTTCATATAGATCAACGGAACACCGGGGATCTTTCTCAGCGAATATCTCAGTCTCTCGTTATCAGTGGCCACGACATACCTATGTTTATTCTCATTATTGATATTGACGATCGACTTGATACACTCATGAGGTGGAACAGGATCCTTGGGTGGATGGTTACAACGACGTCTTTCAAACGTCTTTGCAATGTCGATAGCGTGCTGGTCACGGCTCTCGTAGAGCTTCTGGATGCAGCATTGCGTGATCATCGGCTTGACCTCCGCTTGAAGAGTTCTCGTCAGCCCTTTGGCTACGTCAAATGATGCCTTGGAGCATCCCATCACCAATTCGTCATCCACTATGACCTGGTAGGGCTCTCTGAATTTGAAGGTGTGCTGGTACACAAGCATCTGCTTTCTGTATTGTTTGGCTCTCTTCTGTCTCATGTTTCCCGGTGTTGATGCCCACTGTCTGTGTTTTCTACGTTGCAATACAAGGGAAGAGATAACACCTTCCTGAAAAAAAATTTTCTATATGGAGAAGAGGCGATGAGATGAGCTCACCACCACAACTTCACGTGTATATAGCCGGGTATTAAATATAAAGACTTCGAATCTGGCTACACAACGGTCACAGAAGTGTTCGTTCTGTAGTTGTAAGCTCGCTGCTCCGAGCAATTGGCCTTATTCGCCCGCACTGGTGAGCTATTCTGCACTGATTGTCCCATGGAGTCGGCTTAACTATGTGCGTACCGATTTTCCTCTCCAAGACACCAAAATTGAAATATAAATAAACAAGAAGAAGCACCGTTTCTCTTCCAGTTCGTCGCCCAGTTCCTCCTACAAGCCCAAGCAAGCTCAAGGAAGCTCAGGCAAGTAAAACATGATGAAACTGACCGTCTTCAGGCCCTCTGTGCGCCTGTTTCGCCCGTCACTGGCCTCCCTGGCCTCCCTGGCCACGAGATCGCAGTCCACGAGATCACTGGCCACGAGATCGCAGTCCACTGTAGCAAAGTCCCGGGAAGTGTTCACTCCTGAACAGAAGGCATGGGCAGCCAACGAACGGTTGAAGGGACTTGGTGTCCTGAAGCACCTACCAGAGAAATGGATCCCCTACGGTGAGCTGATGCGACTGGAGAAGCCCGTGGGCACCTGGCTGCTGTTCATCCCTGGCACTTGGTCCATCCTCATGGCCGCGTGTCAAACCGGCGCTCCACTGCTGTTGACCATCAAGACCTTGGCCCTGTTTGGCGTAGGCTCCATCGTGATGAGAGGCTTCGGCTGCGTGGTCAACGACCTGCTGGACAAGGACCTGGACAACAAGGTGCTGAGAACCATAGAGAGGCCCATCACCAGCGGGCGTGTGACCAAGAAGCAGGCCTACAAGCTCATGGCCGGGCAGCTGACCGTCGGGCTCGGGATCCTCCTGGCACTGCCATCACAGTGCTACGCCATTGGAGCCCTCTCTCTGATCCCGGTGTGCCTGTATCCTCTGTTCAAGAGATTCACCTACTATCCGCAGGCCATGCTCTCCGTCACGTTCAACTGGGCGGCGATCCTCGGGTTCCCGGCCATGGGAATAGTTGATCCCATCACCCTGGGCTCGCTATACCTGTCAACGTTCTGCTGGACGATGACGTACGATACCATCTACGCCCACCAGGACAAGCAGTTCGACATCAAGGCCGGCGTCAAGTCCACGGCGCTGGCATGGCAGGACAAGTCGAAGATGATCTTCACAGGGTTGACCACCGCCCAGACGGGCCTCCTGGCGCTAGCCGGCTACCACAGTGGGCTGCTGTTCTCGCCAGGGTTCGCCATTGGCAGCGCAATGTTCTTGGGCTCTGTCTACAGAATGGTCTACAAGGTTGATCTGAACAACCCTGCTGACTGCTGGAAGTACTTTGTCAGAAACATCCGTTACGGCCTGTACCTGACACTGGGCCTGGCACTCGATTATTTGATCGGCTGGTCTTTTTAGAAGTCGCGTCCTTTCCTTCCATACGTATATAGCACAGCTGAATAGCATCAAGATGAGTAACAGAGTACATAAGAAGCACAAGAACAACAACTTCAAGACCTCGGACAGAAGACTGGCCAGTGGCTCCAAGGCTGAGTCGTTCCTCCTGGGCAAGAACAGCATGAGCAGCGTGGCGGTTGTGAACACGAAGGCTCCAAAGAGCAAGGCCACCACGCCAGGCGGCAAGGTGTTCAAGCTGTTCGTCGGCAACCTGGGCAAAGACGCCACGGAGGACGTGGTACGAACGTCCTTCCAGAGGTTCGCCTCGCTGTGCACCGTCGAGGTGCCAATGTCCAATGGTGAGAACAAGGGCTTTGCCTTTGTTGGGTTTAACGACTCTGGGGACTATCTGGACGCCTTCAAGACCATGAACGGCAAATATGTCGGGCACCATCCCTGTGTGCTGAAAAGGGCCAAATGAGGGCCTTTTGCAGGTTTCCTTCGTTTGTCTTTTCCATTGAGATAGTTGAAGTTGAATAAAACGGAATCCTCGCTTCTGATTGGTCGGTTTGGCTTGTTCGTAGGACATAATTTTTCGTGGGGCCCTGGCTCTTGCCTCCCTCATTGGTCTCTATAGCACTTTGGTAAACGATACGACAGCCATGTTGACGTTGAGTGTGGCACCTGTGGTTCGTCTTGCGCTGAGGGCTCCACTGAAGCCCTCAGTATTGCTTGGACTGAGATTCCAATCCCGCGTGAACAGCAGATCACCGTCTTCATCTTCCACGCCAGCTGCCACGCCAGCTTCCACGCCAGCGTCGCCGTTGGCGCCTAGGAACACTTCCTTCAACAAGACGATCCCTGGTGAAACTGAGCAGTCCAACTCGCTGAGCTCGAGATTGCCCTCGTGGCCGTTGAGCTCCAAGAGCACGCTGTTGCCGAAGCCCGGGGTTCCAACCTCGCAGACCACGTCACTGCGTTCCATGATGGAGATCCTCAACAAGAAGCACGAGCCTGAGTTGATCTATGAAGCTGAAACACACAAGATATACTTCCTCATCTGCGGGTCTCTGGCGGTGATGTTCACGATCTACGGGCTGACGTTTGTAGACTGGGGGTTCAGAGCAGTTTGGGACCTGTACCAGGAGGATGACGATTTGACAATGTTCGTCGCAAGAATGGGGATGTGTGTGGCGATCATGAGCGTTGCGATGGGTATGATGACGCTGGCGTTGAAGTTTCCGACGAGACTGGTGAGAAGAATGTGGATTGTCCCCGGCACTAAGGAAAAGTTCATCAGGTTCACTACGCATCCAATGCTGCCTGGGTCCGTGACACCTGTGTATACCATCCCATTGAGACAGCTGCTGAGAAGTCACAAGTCGAAAATCTTCACTAAGAATGGTATCTATGGGACACTGGACAAGTCCACCTTCTTCTTCCTGTTGAAAGAGACGGATAAGAAGTTTGGCTATTGGATCGTTGACAGAAACGGATGGTTCTGGGGAGATGGTCGTGTGTTTGATATTCTGTTTGGTAAGGAAACCTTGGAGGAGGCTGCGAAGGGTCAGACATATGACGATAAGCTGAAAAAAGTCAATGATAAGTTGACAGAGGAGAGAAACAAGCTGAGAGATGAGCATGGAACCCTATGGCAGGTTAAGACTTCTGGGAAGATGTTCCAGAAGGATTTGAAGAAGGTTGTTGGTGTTGTAAATAGAAAGAAGTTGAAATGATGCGGAGTCATCATTGCAACCAGTGGTCACCACATGTATATAGAATTGTCGACATATCATCTGTCCAAGCCATACTCCGTCGCTCACACTGATACAGGACCAATTGTAGAGATATTTTATGTCTCCCTGTTTGTATCAGAGACTGTCCTCTCTACCAGCGATATCGCTGTGAGTAATTAAAGGAGTCCATACTGAGTGCCTTCGAACCAATGGTATGAGCGAATCAACAATTACACCAAACTACGACATTGTATGAGCCTCCACTGTCAACTTTTCAGTGTAGAAGATCTGGAGTTGGCCGCACTTGTGAGTTGTGATGTTCATATGTGTTGCAGCTTTATCATAAACAATGGTTTCGGTTATATAGATTGCCAGTACGTTGCAACTCTTCAGACATTGGAGATATAGCATTTGTCGTGTTGAATCTCATCTTGGACTTGATCTTCCTATGCTTGGAGGTTTCCTATAACACTTCCCTTTGTCATGAACTTCTGTCAAACATGAGATGACAATCATTGTTACTACAAGCTTTAAAAACGATGTGTGGTCTTTACCTTTTGATCAAATGCTCATCATATGGAACAGCACCACCAATCTTGTCCTCTGTCAGAGGCATATCTACTAAAGGAAGGGGCTCCCCTGTTCAATTGAGCAATGTTTAGGGCCCCTGGGAACAATATTGGGAGTTTGGTGCCATTGTACTAATGAAACGCAGATGAATCATAAACTGTCCAGCCAAAGTCCTAAAATTTGCATCATTCCTGGGCTTGGTTATCTGTACCTGGTCAAACACATGTTCTGTTGTAACTGGACGGTTTGTTGTAACTGGACGGTTTGCTGGAACTATACGGTCTTGATGATCGAGTCTAAAGACTCAATTGACATGAGAAAGACCTGGATTCGAAGGATTCAACTATTCAAACCATATTCACCGTCTTTGTCTTGAGCTGCACCAGGAAATACTCTCAAATGATCTATTGTTTGATCCACGATTCATCTTTGGACTAGACTATGCTTGTTTCCTCTGAGCTAACTTAGGGAGAGAGCCAATTGCGTGAGGTATCTCCTGAGCTGGAACTGAGAGTTGATATAAAACGCTGTGTTTCATCCTGTCAGTAAATATCATCGGTTCTGGTGGCTTTGTCTGATAATAACAGACTATTCAGATCCCCCTCATTGTACTCTTCAACAGAATCATCTTCCGAACCATCTTTGTTACAACCACCCACATCATGTTCAAGAGTTGGAAGAATGTCAGGGCCTTGGGCAAGTCCACTCTCATTTCTAACAAAACTTAAAGCCACATGTGCCTGGTCCTCTACGTCCTCTCTATTAGCACTAAATCCCTTATTGTAAAACCTCCATCTTCTTGAGATAAGTCATGAGTCCCAGTATTTGCTTTATGGATCAGAAAAAAGGTATAATGGACCTATTGATGGTTGGAATTGAGTGCCTTCCTGTGCAGCCATGTACGGCTTCTCCAGCCATAGACCTGACAGTTATCAACGTCGATGCTGACGGACAGAACGAGCTGCAACACCTGCTTCTTCATCCTCAAAGACTGGTGTGAAACGTTCTCATCTGGCCCTTTTCACTTTAGACAAATTCACAACAGCACTGACAACCACCTCTCTGACCACAGGCTCGCCATACTGGGCCTCCAACTTGCACCACGACCTTTCGACGTGCTGGCTCAACGTTCGCAGTGAGGTTGGAAGCATTTAACTCACTGTGCAGCTCGCAAGCACAGGACAGGTGAACAGACAAAGCCATTGATATCATCAGACAGAGCCCAAGTATTAGACCATGCACGTCTCGGTGCTGTTAAAGCGCAGCCTAAAAGATAAGGATGATCCGATAGGCATCGTCTCCTATAGCTTTGGTACCAAATAAAGGAGCACATAACAAACAGTCTCGTCCCCTTTGGCTTCTGGAAGTGGTCCAGGCTCCGTAGATATCATCGATTTTGCAGGCACCCAGAATGGATGATGCTCGGAAGAATCCGAGGCCCAAGAACACCAGAACACCACCAACCACTAACCACGAACCGCATGAGGACGCTGCCTTACGCCATCTCGAGGCCCGTTGTTGTGGCAATAAGCAGATACTGGCGTCCTTATAAAACCACGGGGTAAAGCTCTTATAAATGGATCTCCAATACCTCTCACATCCATCAGTATCTGAGTCTTCGTGCAAGCTGCCACGCTTCAACTCACACGCTTCAACTCACACGCTTCAACTCACACGCTGGAGATAGTACTCGTTGGCCGGAAATACTTCAAATAACCATGCATAATGCGGAAAAGCTTTTGGTCTATGGGTTGCGTATCTTAACAGTTAAGGTCCTCTTCATCTCTCACTACCACAGCTTGTTTGGACCACGGTGCTATTATGGTTTGTGCCCCCAATGACAGGCAGGCGATGATGACAAAGAAGCCATCATGGCTGCAGCATATCGGACGGGGCTTATATACTACCAGGTCCACGAGTGCATAGGTGAGTTTGGAGACGTCAGCAACGGCCATGTGTCCAATATCGATGCCATGGGCCAGTAGGACCCGATCATGGGCTATGTACAAGGCCAGGATCCTGGGAAGCTCAAAGGTGATGTGAGAGTGTATGATTGGAACAAGAACAACTGTGTTAGGCACACGAACAGAGAGGCCGGGACGATGTTCCTGCACTGTAATCAGCCAAAGTTGTATCCATGAGAGGTTGATGGTGATAGTTTAGAAAGATCTACGACGACAACGGCAATGCCAGAAGACTCTACTCTCACAGCCTGTGCAAAGAGCCGGGTTTTGATGCTGAGGCCAAGATCTGGGAATCTGGGAAGTGGCTACTGTGCAATCATGGAGACGTCATGTTTAAGGGTTGAAAGATCCAGAGCTGTGGTGTGAGAAAGCTACAGATCATCACTACGGTTCGCCCTGGAGACACCTCTACAACGACCCACTACGCCACTCTCTGTCCGCAACCTGGGCAGCTGCTGGAACGCTAACTTCAGCATATCAGTGCAAGATTCAGCAGGCTAATCACAGCGCACAGGCACACGCATCTCTCTGCTTTCGCTCAAGCTCATCACTCAATCTTCATGCTCACAGACACTGCTTTGCCACAACTGATTGATATGAGATGACCCCTGTTCTCGCTCATGGGTGCCATCCAAAGCTCTCTAACCCGGATACGTCGAGCTGTCGAACCTGGCTGCCGTTGTAGACTGCGATTACACCGTTGAAAGAGAGAGAGAGCTACAGGTGAGGCTACGATTTAGCCTATACACTATCACCATCCTCCGCTAACACCCTTTCAAGCTCTTTCATTGAATGAAGATGTGCTGAGACAGCTGAGAGCACCTGGAATGGTGGAAAAGGCTCTACACTGCCAGTATGGATCTCCTCGATGGTGTATATGTATTTCTCTCTCGGGAAAATACACGTAGACAGCACGGAGCTTATGCTGCTCGGACCGGCGATTTTTGCTGCTTTTATGTCTGAGACAGCGTACTATTTCATCAACAAAGATTTCAGAGAGTTCCCCTTTAAGCACCATCCTTTGACCACTGTTGGCCGTTGTTACCGTGGTCTCTGCTCTCTTACCAAAATGATCAATACGAGATATTGGTATCGCTTGGTTGCTAGCAAACTCGCCGTGAGCGGTCGTGCGAAGATCAGATTCGTTGTGTTGCTTACAGTGGCTTCAGTGCTGGTGTGTTTACAGCTGGTGTACCCCCATTTCAGTTCCACAGCTTTGAACAAATCGCACATCTCCACTGATGAGCCGCTGAAAACACGTTACCGCAACCCGTATTTCGAATCTGAGAATGGGTTCCAAGTCATCGTGCAACAGAACGGTAGACGTCCCACATTGGAAGGTGACGTCCACACCATTTCGGACTACACTGAGAAGGAGTACTATCTCAACGCCCAATACCCAGAATACACGAATCAGGAGCAACTCGACGCTGGACTGGATACGAAGTCAACATTCAAGGAGTTTGTCTCGGAGCTGTTGGAAAATGTTCTTAGCTCAGACCCTAACATTGAGCCTATCAACAATGCTGGGCACTACAACAAGTCCAATGTCTATGGGAAAACAGGCTCTGGTAAGGTGCCATTGCTTTCTGGTAAGCTCCGTGAGAACAAGGGTAATGAGCCAATTAGAAGCAAAGAATACCTCAGAAGTTACATGCAGCTCAGTGAGGATGAGATGGCCAAGTTGACGGCTTCACATAAGAGAATCGTGGAACTTCTCCCTGATAAGTTCCCAGATGAGTTCGAGAAGAACTTCAAGCGTAGAGGTATACTCTATGCAGGTGGTGGTAAGTACAACTGGTTGGTGCTACTTTCACTGGTGATGCTGAGAAACACAGGTTCCAGATTACCAGTGGAGGTGTTCATCCCTAGTAATTCCGAGTACTCCTCTGAGCTGTGTACAAGAGTGTTTCCTGTGTTTGGTGCTGAATGCCTGCTCATGGACAAATATGCTGACGTCCAAAAGTTCGAGTTTAAGGGGTATCAGTTGAAGTCGATGGCATTGCTGCTGACATCGTTTGAGGAGGTGCTGATGCTTGACTCTGATAACATCCCTGTGAAGAACCCTGATCTTCTTTTCGTCAATGAACCCTTCAAATCTAAAGGAATGGTTGTTTGGCCAGACTTCTGGAGACGTTCCACAAGTCCGCTGTACTATGACATTGCCAATATCACCGTCAATGAGACTCATCAGGTCCGATTCTCTTATGGAGATGAGCGTGATCACCCACAGCCTTTGAATACCCACGAAGATTACGAGTGGAAAGTCTCCTTTCACGATTTAGAGGGTGCATTGCCTGAGGCCTCTTCAGAGACCGGGCAGCTCATGATCAATAAGAAAACACATGCAAAGGCCATTTTCCTCTCTCTCTACTACAACTTCTTTGGACCAGGGTACTATTACGGTTTGTTCTCCCAAGGACAGGCAGGTGAAGGTGACAAAGAAACCATTTTGGCTGCAGCACATAAGATGGGGCTTCCATACTACCAGGTTCAAGAATACATCCGCGAGTTCGGAGACGTCAACAACGGCCATGTGTCCGATATCCATGCCATGGGTCAGTACGACTCAATTCTGGACTATATACAAAGCCAGGACCCTGAAAAGTACAAAGATGATAAAACGGTATACAATAGAAACGGTAACAACTATCTGAGACACAAGTACAGAGAATCCGAGACGATGTTCCTGCACTGTAATCAACCAAAGTTGTATCCATGGGAGCTTGATGGTAATGGGTTTAGAAAGATCCACGACGACAACGGTAATACCAGAAGACTCTACTCTCATTACCTGCGCCAGGAGCTGGGTTTTGATGCTGAGGCCAAGATCTGGGAATCCATGCAATGGTTACTGTGCAAACATGGTGACATCATGATTGAAGGGTTGAAAGATCCAGAGCTGTGGTGTAGGAAGGTTACAGATCAGTTACAATGGCTAAGGGCTCATCCAGAAGACATTGAGATCAAAGAATAAGAAGAATCTAAGAGCGAGGGTACTTGAACTCGTTAGTTGATTGATGGTGATATCCTTTCTTTGAATTCAGGTGTTGTCATTTGTGTTTATTGTTTGAATATAGAAATAGAAGTTGTATACCATTTAAAAAAGTTGACTAAGTATGGATAGGGAGATTCTTGAATATTATTCATAAACTACTTTTCCCCATTAAGCTTTTTCATTGCGTCCTATATGTATATTGTCACGAGCATTTGTCAACGAGGCCAAAACACGGGTATTTCTATCCACCATCTACACGTTCCATGTTGTTGACAGGAATCACAACGACTTGGATGGTTTGAAACCAAAAAAGCCAGTGCAGTCCTCCACAGGCCTGTGTTTGTGCGTCATACAGTTACTGGAAACATTGCTTCAAGACCCTACTATTTGAACTAAAATACGAAAGTCTGAAGATGACTTTTATTTTGAGTCCTATGGATGGCATGTTTGATTTGAGGCTTTACCTTAAGGGATTAACATTTCACACCAAGACATTGGCGCCAACACTAGGAAGCTCAAAATCTGCCCATCATCGGCAAGAAGGTCTTAAAATGGATACGCGTTGAATTTCTTCCATGTCTTCCGAAAGGCGATATAGCTCATGCCCGTCATAAAATAGAGATTCTTGAAACTTGAACTTCTACAAAATTTCAGGACTAAATGCGGGTCAAGTTTCAGACCGTACTGGGACTTACACCAGAGAATTGACACTAGAAGCGGTTCTACTATACCTGTTCAATTGAACTTCAATCTGAGACCCTTGTGTTGTAATTATTTATCCTGTGAGTTCCAGTTAGAATTATTAGAGTTCACTGGCAACTTGCAGAACTGGAAAAGTTAAACCAAAAAAAAAGGTGGAAGTTTTTGACTTGCGTCTATTCTGCATGTTAATGCGGGAAGTTTTTACAAAACAGACGATCCCCTGTAAAAGAGTCTTGAAATTTTTCGTAAAGAGTTCGGGTCTAGGATTTACATTTCTATGCGTCGTTGCTGTAGTTATTCAAGGTTAATGAAGGTCAGGTATAAGCACTGTGAATCAACCTCCATCTAATGTGCTGTGCAATAAGACCTTTCTATGGC